CCGAGGCAGCCTACCTCTGAGACGGGGAGTTGGGAACCACCTCTTGCACGTAGATCCCGCGGCTGACCTCCGGGAAGTCAGGGTTGTTGGCCTTTAGCTCCTCCACCAAACTGCAAGGACAGTCCCGCTGTGAGGCTCCCTCAGCCTGAGCCTCCCCTCACGCCCGGCCGGGCGGGCCTCTGCTGGGCCCCACACCGCCCACTCCTGCCACCACCGCTCTGCCGGCCACTGGCTCTTGTCCGTGTCCCCACTCACTCCACACAGCTCCTCAAGGGAAACCCCAGGGAAAGGGGGTGATTAGAAATGTGGAGAGAGGAGGGTGGTGGATAGAGGAGGGAGGGGGAGGAGAGAAAGGAAGGAAAGGTGGAAGGAAGGAAGGAAGGAAGGAAGGAAGGAAGGAAGGAAGGAAGGAAGGAAGAAAGGAAGGACGGACAATGGGTGAATGGTGGAATAGACAGAAGACTAGGCAGGTGGTGTGATGGACGGATAGATGGATGAAAGATGGAGGGATAGCCTGGCTGGTGTGGCTCAGTGGTTGAGCATCAACCTATGAACCAGGGGTCACGGTTTGATTCCTGGTCAGGGCATATGCCCAGGTTGTGGGCTCGATCCCCAGTAGGGGGCATGCAGGAGGCAGCCGATCCATGATTCTCTCTCATCATTGATGCTTCTATCTCTCCCTTCCTCTTCCTCTCTGAAATCAGTAAAAATCTATTTTAAAAAAAGATAGAGGGATAGTTGAGCAGAAGGCAGGAAGGAGGAACGTGCACGTGGGTAGCTGGAAGGAGGGACAGAGGCAACCGATCCATGATTCTCTCATCATTGATGCTTCTATCTCTCTCTCCCTTCCTCTTCCTCTCTGAAATCAGTAAAAATCCATTTTTTAAAAAAGATAGAGGGATAGATGAACAGAAGGCAGGAAGGAGGAATGTGCACATGGGTAGCTGGAAGGAGGGACGGATGTGGCCATGGCGTGGAGAGACAGAGGACTGACGCATGGTGTGATGGGGGGGTGGTGCAGGGAAGAGGAGGGACACACGTAACAGGTACATTGGTCTTGATTAGGAGCTGCCCTTGGACTTTGGCCCTGGACGCACAGCTGCGGGAGCAGGAAGGTAGTCCCGAGGGGCCGTGGGGGAGGGCGCAGGTGGCAGAACAGGCTTCGCTCTCCCCAGAGCCCCGCCTCAGTGACCTTCTCCAACCCTCCCCCCGCTCCCTGACTCCCTTCCTTCCCGTCTCCCCCCTCCCCACTCCCTCCTTCATCTCGCTCACTGGGCATCTCCAGGCACCCGCTGGGCTGCAGACCTGTCCTGGGGCGGGGCAGAGGGGTGAGCGGACACAGCCCTCACCCCCAGGGAGCTCACCCTCAAGGAGGGGGGGCACAAATGGGCTGTTCCAACACCATGGACCAACGCCATCGGGGAGGGAAGCCCGGCCATGCACTGAGAGGAGGCACCTCCCCCACGCCTTCCGTCTGTGGAGGGAGCGCCGTCTCCCCGAAGTTCACGGGCACCCACAGCCTCTGCCTGGGACTCTGTAGGTGCGACCGGCTGAGGAGCTCCAGATGAGAGCTTCCTGCCTAGGGTGGGCCCTGACAGGTGCTGGTGCTTTTGTGAGAGAAGGAAGGTATTTGGAAATAGACGCACAGGAGAGGAGACGGCCACGGACGTCAGAGGCGGGGATTGAAGGGACGCGGCTACACCCCAAGGACACCAAGAGCCGCCGAGCCCGCAGGGAGCACGGGCCTGCCCACACCTTGGGTGTGGACTTCCGGCTCTCAGGACGGAGAGAAAACGGACTTCCTGTCATTTTTAGCCAAGCGTGTGGGACTCTGCTATGGCAGCCACAGGAGCCTAAACCCCGGAGGCTTCCTGGAGGAGGGGCACCGAGTGAAGTCCGAGGGAGACTCTAGGGCGAAGGGGAGAAGCACTGCAGGCAGAGGGCCTGGCCTGAGCAACGCCCAGCGCCTGAGGGACGGGCCCCGGGGCACCTGCGGGAGTCGCCCCCCAGCCCCCTCTGCGAAGTGCAGCTCCAGGGAGGTGGCCCAGGCCAAAGGCTCCCCGGGAGCAGGAGGCAACGGCTCAGGGAAGGCTCCACAAGCAGAGAAAGAGCCAAGGCTACGAGGGCTGCAAAGGCGCGGCCCCGGGTCCGGTTCCGAGCTTCGGAGCAGCCCAGGGGGAAAGGGCTCAAGCGGTTATAGATGGTCCCTGTCACCCATAGCAGCCTCCAGCTCTGGCCCTGCCTTCTTAAGGTCCACACACAGCATCAGTTTTATTTGTGGTTCTAGTAACCATCAGAAATTGAAATCTGAAAGAATATACCCCTGAAGAGAGCCTCAAACACGTGAAGTATCTAGGACTCAAGCTGACGAATGCTGGGTAAGGCCTGCACATGGAGAACTAGAGACCACGGAGGGAGACCATGGAGGGAGACCACGGCGGGAGACCACGGCCAGAGAAGCCATGGGGGCCAGTCTGTGTTCACGGGGCGGACGATGCAGTGTTGTCACAATGACAGCCCTCCCCAAACCGATTAGAGAGTCAACGAACCCATCAAACCCCCAACAGTCGCCCCCCAGCCCCCTCTGCGAAGTGCAGCTCCAGGGAGGTGGCCCAGGCCAAAGGCTCCCCGGGAGCAGGAGGCAACGGCTCAGGGAAGGCTCCACAAGCAGAGAAAGAGCCAAGGCTACGAGGGCTGCAAAGGCGCGGCCCCGGGTCCGGTTCCGAGCTTCGGAGCAGCCCAGGGGGGAAGGGCTCAAGCGGTTAGATAGATGGTCCCTGTCACCAATAGCAGCCTCCAGCTCTGGCCCTGCCCTGCCTCCGGGCTATCTTCACCCAAGGCACACGGATGAGCCAGGAGTCCTCAACAGCAGGACTTCCCATGGCCAGTCCTCGGGGCACTGGCCTGGGCTGTACGGGCTCTGGGTGCTGGTGGCCGAGGGGTGGGGGAGGGGCAAGCCTGCGGAAGCCCCTGCTCTCAGTGCGCTGCTGGTGAGAGGGCTGGGAGGAGACAGGGAAGCAGCGTGAAGGTGTGCGGACCGGGGCTGGGGCAGGTGTAGGCCAGGTTGGCCAGGAGTGGGCATAGGGACGAAGTGGCGGGAGGGAGACGTGTACTTGGGCTGAGAAGGAAGGTGGGAGGTGGAGGCCACGGGGAGGTCTGAGAGCAGCAGTAGGACCCTCCTCTGGACGGCGGCTGTGGCCTCTGGCTTTAGGGAGGCCATTAGCCTGCGCTCCCTGGGGAGAATCACTGGTGCCTATCGAGGCCTCTCCCAGGTGGATGCCCCTGGCCACCCGTAAGTGGGCAGGGTGGGCTGGACATCCCTGTGGGATGGGGGTGAGGAGATGGAGGGTGGGAGGAGGGTGACTTCCAAGGATCAGGGGCTTGGGCTCCACTCTCCTGGAGTACAGGTTACCCTACCTGACAGTCTGCATGGCCAAGGGCAGAAAGAAGTACTTAGGGACAGGCAGATAGATGGTAGGAAGGGTGGATGGATGGGTGAATAGGTAGATGAATGAATGGATGGGTGGGTGGATGATGGATGGATGGATGGATGGATGGATGGAAGGATGAATAGGTAGATGGATGGATGGATGGATGATGGATGGATGGGTGGGTGGGT